AAAAATTAAATATTGTTTATTGGCCCTTCGGTGCCTCAATACTTGTCATAAAACAACATTGGACTTCATTTTCGTTTAGATACTACTTCTGAATGTCGAATGTTTTTAACAGGATATATCAAATATTAACAGATTACATGCTTGTGTTGAGCAACTGTTAACATGGGTTGAGTCCATGATTCAAACAGAAGGTAAAAATAAAGCAGTGTTTGGTCTGTTAATGCATATGGTTTCGTTGGTTTGTAAGGTTGAGTCGTCAATTATTGTAAAAAGGTCATGAATAGGTATATATAGTGTTGATGGATATGATATGTTAATAATGATATGTATCGATTACCAGCATTGTCTTCAAAGTTCTAAGTCACAACAATTAATAATGTTGAAGGGCGGAGAGCAGTCTTGGATCCAGTATAAGGTGAGATGCTTCTTTCTTGTTCTTACATTCATTACACGTTTCTTATCGAATTGTTGATAGCACTGATCATCATAATACAAATATAGTATCTTGCCTTTTTGTCCATGATTAATATGATCGTGAAGTTTGTTCTTTTGCTTTGTTTTTCTTTTTGGCTTGGCTTTGTCGGTGGATGATTGTTTTTTAGCTTGTGTGGTCCTTCTTGTTTTGCGAGGTTTGTTCTTTGGCTTGTATTCTTTTTCTTGTTTTGATGGAGTTGGTTGATTCAATGTTGATAATGTATTCTCATCTTTCTCAACTGGTGGATCGTTAGTTTTCTCAACTGATGGATTTTCTCTAAAGGTGATTGCGTCACATAGATGATGTTGTAAAGATTGTAACAAGTGATGCGAATGATCTAATGGCTTCCGTGCCTTTTCTTCGCAATTTCTGTTCTCTTCATTTCGTATATATTCATTAAGTTTGGAGTTTAATTGTTTGAGGGTAGCTGAAATGTAATTCGCTTGTTGTTCAATTCTTTCCAAATGTCTTTCCAGGCTGTGGAGCATGCAAGAGTCAATTCTGATGTTCATCTTGCGGTATTTTTTAAGGGCTCGAGTCCAAAAAAAAATGTCCAATCACCTCCATCCAAGACTCCACCTTCGGGATACAGAAATCATGCCCCATGATTCATTCATTAACGACGGCCTTGGTGGTGTTTCAGATTATGTAAAAAACAAGAAACAAAAATTAAATCAACAAATCATGATGGGAAATGATGTAAAATTGATCATTCTTGATTTTTCAAATTCCTCTTCTTTTGGTGAAAATTGTGATGAGAATAATCTTCGGAAATTGGAATTATTATTGCAATGGAAATTCTCAATGCAACAAGAAGGGAAGAAGAAATGGTTATTGAACCGAGAATTGAAATATAAACATTTCTTTCCTGTTGAGTTTATGAATGACAAGGAATTTGTTTTGAATCACATCAAAAAGTATGGTTATGGATTGGAATATGCATCCATGCAATTAAAACAAGATCCAGATTTTGTTTTGAAAGTGATTCAACAACAAGGAAATCAAATACAATTTGCGAGCAAGAAAATCCGTGGTGATAAAGAAGTGGCATTTGAAGCGGTAAAACATAGCACATGTGCATGGAAATGTGTTTCTTCAGAAATTAAAAGGGACAAAGAATTTTCTTTTCAGATAGTTCAACAGAATGGATTAGCTTTGTGTTATGCACCTAAGGAGTTTAAGAAAGATAGAGAAATTGTTTTAGCTGCTGTAATGCAAAATGTTGAAGCATTTGAATATGTCCAAGATCATTTGATATCAGACAAGGAAATTGTATTGGAAGCAATCAAACAAAATAAGAAGGCTCTTCAATTCATTTCAAAAGATTTATTGAAAGATTGTGAATTCATGTTGACAATTCTCAAATTAATATTTCCAGAATTTTCTCATTTAAATTCTTTTGATTATTCACAAAGAGATATCATGATGAAACTTGTTGGAGAATATGGGAGGACACTTGAATTTGCAAGTGATGAACTCAAGAATAATCGAGAAATTGTTTTGAATGCAGTCAAAAATGATGGTTTGTCACTTGAATTTTCATCTGATGATTTGAAGAATGATCGAGAAATTGCATTAATGGCTGTTCAACAAAATGGTTTCTCTTTGAGATATGTCTCTGATGAATTGAAGAGAGACAAACAAGTTGTGTTAAATGCTATCAATGAACATGGATATTCTCTTCAATATGCCTCTGATGAATTGAAGAATGATAAGGAAGTGGTATTGACGGCTGTAAGACAAAATGGCTATGCCCTTGAACTTGCATCGGATGGAATGAAAAACGACCGAGAAGTTGTAATGGCTGCTGTAAGAGAAGATGGCAATGCTCTCGAATATGCTGGTGAGATGACGACTTGTGACCAAGAAATTGTTTTAGAAACAATCAAAAATGATGGTTCATTGGAATATGCTTCCCGAGACCTTTTATGTAACAAACAATTCTTGCTAGAAGTTGTGAAATGTGGATATAATGACCTTCTAGACCATTTGTCAAATGACATTGTGTTTGACAAGGAATTTTTGTTACAAGCAATCAAACTGAACAGTCTTTCCGTTGTATCGTCTCACCGTCGTCATATAGTATCCGACAGGGAAATAATGTTAGAAGCAGTGAAGAACAATGGATATGCATTATTTTACACATATAATCAATTATACAATGATCCTGAATTTGTGATGGAAGCTCTCAAGTGCAATGGATACGTTGAGGAATATAGTGACGAATTCTATCAAGTAAGAATGCTCTATTGTTATCATGACGCTTATTTGGGGAAGGATCACTGAATATCAACAACTAATTTTGTTTCCGCAAATGACTGGAATAAAAATTTGTTCATCCGCTCAACAAAAGTGGTGTTGAAACCACAATCACCACATGGACTATTTCGAACGTGGCATCTGGCTCCAGTAAGCACATGAAGGATATTCGGTCCTGACGATGATTCGTGATCGTTTTTTATGAAACTCATTTTCCTTGAGCCTTCGCTTAATCAAGCCAATTCCCAGACGGACTGGGGTAATCTTTGGGTGCACATGATTCATGAGGAGAAATTTCGAAATGTGCTCTTCAACAACATGGAATGTACCTTCCGAACATAACTGTCCCATCCATGAACTCATTCGAGGGGTTGTTTTGTTGTAGTAGGTTGTTCAATAAATTTTCAAGTAGAATATTAGATGAGCAAAAAAATGTCCAAACGAGATCATAGCCACATTCACTCAAAGCTCTTCCTTCGGGACACAGACATTATGAAGGTGGATGATTCATTCATGAACGGCCTTGCTGATGGTGTTTCAGATGATGAGGTTGATTATGGAAAAAACAAGAAACAAAAATTACCTCAATTACAGAAAACGACCACCATCACGATGGGAAGTGATGATGAACAGGTAAAACTGATCATTCTTGATTTTTCAAATTCCTCTTCTTCTCTGAATGAACATTGTAAGCAACATGTTCGTAAATGGGAATTCGTGTTGAAAAAGAAATTCTCAATGCAACAAGAAGGGAAGAAGAAATGGTTATTGAACCGAGAATTGAAATATAAACATTTCTTTCCTGTTGAGTTTATGAATGACAAGGAATTTGTTTTGAATCACATCAAAAAGTATGGTTATGGATTGGAATATGCATCTACGCAATTAAAACAAGATCCAGATTTTGTTTTGAAAATGGTCCAACAACAAGGAATTCAAATACAATTTTCGAGCTGCGTCATTTGTGGTGATAAAGAAGTGGCATTTACAGCAATAAAAAACAACGCATGTGGCCTTCTCATCTATATTCCAAAACAAATTGCACTTGTCGGATTGAAATTCAAAAAGAGTCTTTCTATAGGATACAACAAGGAAGTCATGTTTGAAGCAGTGAAGAATAATGGATTGGCATTATTATACACACATTACAGTTTGCAGCAAGAACTTGAGATGGAAGCTCTTAAATGCAATGGTTATGTTTTGGAGTATAGTGATGAATTATATCGAGCGAGAATGCACTATTGTTATCATGATGCTTATTTGGGAAATGATCTTTGAAGTCATGTTGACCAAACAATTCAATTCCCTTCAGTACAACGTTGGCTTGAAGAGAAATGGTGTAACATTAGTAAAGCAAAATGGAGATGTGTGAAGATGGTGATACAAATTTATCAAGTTAGGCAATAGTTAAAATTTACAAAGTGACATTCTCTGGTCTTGGATGAGACTCTTTTCCAAAACTGTGTGTGACTCTAACAAATTCAGCCTTTCTTTGCAACTCCTTGATATCCTTAGCACCGCCATAAGTGAGAGCACTTCTCAAAGCTCCACAAAAGTTGTCAATAACCTCTTGAGCAGAACCAGTACACTTGGCGTAGAAAGCAACGCCTTCTGGCACAGTGCCCTTCTTCAAACCACCATAGTAATCGTCTTGGAAGTCCTTACTGGCCTGTCCTCTGTACTTGACCAAAGTAATTTCATTACCATTTTCAATCTTGGTGAATTTAGGAGCAGCACTTTCACGTGTCTTGGCGAATATGCTTCCCATCATGACCGAGCTTGCTCCGGCAGCCAATGCCAACACCATGTCTCTCTCAAAAACAATTCCACCATCGGCAATAATTGGAACACGGAGTTTACGAGCCAATTCAGCACAATTCTTGATGGCACTAAATTGAGGAATACCGAATCCAGTCTTGATACGAGTGGTACAAGCAGCTCCACATCCAACTCCGACCTTAACGGCATCGGCACCAGCAGAGACAAGATCCTGATAACCCATGGCAGTACAAACGTTTCCAGCAATGATTTCCTTGTGTGGCAATTGCTTTTTCAAAGTTCTGATGAAAGAGCACATGGCTTCCGAGTGACCATGAGCAATATCAATCACAACTCCTTTAGCTCCCATCTCTAACAATTTAACAGTGGATTCCATATCATTCAACCCACACGAAATGAAGCAATTGTCTTGGTACTTTTTTACCCAATTGGTTTGTGTTTCGAATGAAGTGAAACGATGGAACAATGGGATTCCTCCGTTAGCAATCAAAACATCGGCCAATTCATCGCAAATCACAGTGTCCATATTTGCAGCAAGAAGAGGCATACCAATTTTAGAGTTCTTTGTCAACCAAGATTCCAAGGAAGGATGCAAACGCGATGGCACATTGTTGTATTGTGGAACCAAAGTCACATCATCAAAAGTGAGGTAATCTTCGTAGTGGATATTGTTCAACATTTTCGTTAGTAAATCAATTACACGGAGGTGTTACGTTGGAGTGAAGGTTATAATGATGATCGTGGTGGTATCGAAGCCTTTTCAAGTAATGGAAAAGGTAGGGAGCTGTTGGGGTATTTTTTTCATCGTTTTTTGTAATGGAATTTTATGGCGAGACCCGAATTTATTGATTGGGTGACGCCGTTCAATAAATTGTTGCATTCGCGTTCAACCTCTCAGAGAGAATTGAGGTCAGGGGTAGCCAAAATGGAAAGTTATGATCCAAAAGCTTTTGAACTGGATTGGTGCCAAGTAATTGTACAGTTTCAGTTGCAAATGAGACAACGAGACAACCACATGCTTTGTCAAATACAGTTGTGTCTTCCTCTCGATAACAAAGTTGTTGAAGAATAGATTCATCATCGTTCACCTTCACAGTGTAATCGGAAGCAATTTCCTGCTTTCTCTTTTCCTTGAATCTCTTTGTCTGGCAAAGCATGAACGTGTTTGGAAGAACAGTGGAAAGAAAAAGTATTCTCAACTTTCGGAACAAAACCTGAGCCAATAGTTTTCCTTTTTGGCCAAGTTTAATGGTAGAACGAACACCAGTAGGTATTGGTTTCTTACAAAATGTCTCCATCAATAAATCCTTGTTATCATCAACATTGTCTCCGAGAGCTGACCGAACTTTGATTCCGTTTGATGAAAAATGTTCAAGATAGTCTCTAAGTATTGGACAAAATATAATCTTTACACTTCTGACTCTGCACTTGAGAGCTAAAAAATGTTTCGCTAAAATATGAGCGTACCAACATTTACCTTGGAATCCTTGAGCAGCAGCAACATAAATATTCCAAAACAACGATAATGATTCCGAAATGACTTGATCCGATGCATTCTTGTCAATATTATTCAACAAGCATTTCAATGCGTCCCACAACATTTGTGTTTGTTCCTTCTCGAAAAACGGAGACATCACTCCAACATTGTTCAGAAGAATGTTACATGTGTTTCCATGAAGAAACATACGAACATCATTCCATTCTTCGTCTTCAACTTTCTGTAAGCCTTCAAGTCCCTTGATTTTAATAACAGCATCCCAAAACTTGTCTTTCTCCTTAACACCACTCAATGTTATTCTCAAAACATTTTCACACAGCCGTTCCTTTGCATGAAGGACACAAATAATAATAATGCATGCAGGTAGTCCAAGAATACAGCCCAATGAATCCTCTGTTCTGGGTTTGTGGTTTTTGCAACATATTGGTTTCACTCCAGGACAGACCACACTTAACGCTTTCAAATCCATCGTTAAAAACACATCAATGGAGCAATGATTCGATTCGGTTGTTATTCCGTGCTTCCGAATAATCTCAATTTCCTTTCGGAAATGATCTGCCACATGAACAAATTCACTCTCATCTCCAGACCAAATTGCAAGTGGAACGCATATAGCTCGAGATTGACCTGTTCCGAAGCATTTGCTAATTGATCACAATAATGGTCAAAGTAGTCAGTTTTGAATTGGCAGCATAATCAAGATTCAACGCAACAATTAAATCCTTGTTATCGATTTGATCCTCTTTACAAAGTTGTATCTGCTTTTTCTTCATAAAACCAATCCACTTCTTGTGCTGCAACACATAACAACATACAGTGGGGAGAATTGAGTGATAAATGATTTTTCGATCTCCATCTAATTCTTTAACCTTTACATTAAATATGTCAGTGCAGATTAAGTCTGTCGTTGATTGTGCATGCAATAAGGTAGGTGAGGGTGTTAAATTTTTGACATGTCCTTCTGTTCGAAGTTCGTCCACGGCCTTATTAGAAATCACTTTTCGGTTTTTAACAAGAACTTGCTTTAAAGTGTTTTCTTTCAATTTGAAATGTCTTGCACTAGTTTTTTTCTTGTTTTGGTTGTCGTTGTCATTTCTGTTACGCTTTTTATGGTTCTCTGTTTGGTGGTTCTTAATTTGAGACATCGTATTACTTTCTTTTGAGAAGAACGTTTGTTCGTTGCATGATTCTTGTTGTTTTGACATACTATAATCCATACTATCCAACAAACCTTCCTCTTTCATACGATCTTCATTCAGCAATCCTTCCCTCCATAACATCCCAAGAAATTCATAAATATCTTTAAATTGATCCATTTTGCAAATAATATCGTGACCTCCTAATCGTTGTAGCAGCTTTTCTTTTCGCTTCGTCTTGGTTCCATAATTTGCATCACCAAAATAGTCAGTGCATTTGTAATTGAAAGAATTGGTAACAATATCATCAGTGATATGAGTCAAGCCAAGATGTTGTTTGACATCAAGGAAGTATCTTGCTTTTAGCTGAGAAGAGGTCTCTTCCAAGCATATTCGGTCGTTGGAACAAACTTTCCCAACAATAGACGTTATTGGGGGAGAAGAATTGTACTGATTTATTAATCGTTGCTTCCATTTGAACTCCTTTGATGAAGAAGAATGTGTTGGAAAATTTGAAACTGGTTCGCTCACTGATTCGTTTAATGATGATGATGCATGATTGTTGGTGATTGTTGGTGATTGTTGTCTTTGAGATTCGGATGTTGTAATGTTATTGGTCATCAATAATGGTGATGGTGTAGGAATGAATGTCGAAGGCCATGAGTATGAAGGCCAGAATATGGGTTGATCAATGTAATCTTGCGAGGATTGATTGGTGTTAATTTGAGACAACTCATATTGTGGAGATTTAAAGTTCGGAATGAGTTGATATGTTGGCCAGTACAAGGATTGATTACTGTTGATTGGTAGCTCAGGTTGTGAACATTGAGAATTTGTTTGGTAGGGATAAAATTTAGACATTTTTGTTTTTAATAAAATTAATAATTTATTTCAATTTTAGAAGAAACTAAATTCATCATCATCGTCGTATTTGATCTTGGTATCGTATGACATATGCATGAACACTTCACTTGACTCTGTTTCAAGTATAAAAGAAATATTCTTAACTTGCAATAGGTATTCAGTTGTGACCACAGAATTGTCTTCCTTTGAAATGCAACTCTTGACAACTTGTCTTCCCCAATTCTCAAATAAATCCAGAACTGGTAAGGTATCTTTAAAACGATATCCAACACAGGGAACTTTGTACTTAATTCCATGCCTATAGATCATTCTGTCAGAGTGGAAAAACGTTGCTCCCTTCATATTTTGAAACATCAGTTGAAAGGTTTCTGTTTCAATACAGCCACAACTAATGGAGGTTCTTCGGTGAATACCTCCCAACTTCAGCATTCTGTTAATCTTGACTCGGGCACACTTGGCAAAAAGTTGGAAAGATCTTGCGACGTAATCTTGTTCTTCTTCACAAAGGTCAAAGTAACTGTAGTTCAGAGGTTCAATTCGTGGTAAACCATGCTCAATGATGATATCTTTGAAATCGTAAGAGCTAGTTTCTTCTCTGCGTTGTTGTTGGATTTGTGTTGTGATGGGATCGGCTTCATTGTTGTTGTTGTTGTTGTTTGGAGCATCGAACATCATTGCATCGCCTTCATCTATGACAATCTCGTACATATTGGTTGTTGCTGTAGATTGGAGTTGTTTGATTAATTAGAATCATCATAATGATTCAGCTAAAATGTTGCTATTGTAAAACTTACGTTATTGTGTGCTGTAATCTTCTAACATAAAATTGATACGTATATTGATATTTACGTCAAGAGTTCAATGTTGATTGTCTTGTCAAACCTACGTGTGTTGTTTTGTTTCGATGATGAAAAAGGGCCACACAAAAACGCGGCACCAGAGACATTTTATATTTTTTTTTGTTGTAATTTGCTGTGAGCCAAATCATCATTTTCTTGGCCGAGAGCTGGCCCAAGCGACCATGGAAAGTTGTAGTGTGAGTTAATTTTGTCATCCTTAAGGAAAAGA